AAGACGGCTGCTTCATGACGGAAAGCGACCTTATCTCAGAAACGGTACCGTTTAAATATTTTATTATCGCGCACGCAGAGTGTTTGTATTTTCGTGGAAATGCGACAAATTTTTATTTTAAATGGATCACCCTGTATATTCGAATTGCTCGGAACTTTCTAGACCGTATTTTGTATGTAATATCCTATATCTGACTATGATCATTTCTTACGTATTTTCAATTTAATGTCAACAGTGACTGAATCATTTCCCTATAGGATTTTAGTGGTCTGTGTCTATGTCTGTGAATTTTTGCAATTTTATCGTATTTTGTGGCTATACAGGTTTCGTGAGACACGTTTTATTTAGAGTGAACGGGTGGTAATTGTGATTGGTTGTTCTTTTGTCATTCACTGTGACTGTAATAAGAATTTGTTTATAACAATTATGAATTTTTCTGTCTGTATTTTATGAAGGTGAATTGTTAATTCGTCTTTGAAGTAACTGGTTCGATATATATTCTTGTCTTCTTAATGGTGTTTGGGTGTCTCCGATTTTTCATTTTGTTTATATCGTTGCGTTTGTTAATATGTTCAATAATTGACAAAAATTCTAATAAAATTATAATTGGCAATAAATACCAAATCAGCTTATATTGTTAATAATGCAAAAGCAGTGATATGAAAAAATGGTGGATGCATAGGACACATAACAAACAGTAAACAGTAAAGTATTAGATTTTTTCCTGTTCATTTTTTGCAGTAAATAAAAAATATACAGGGTTGATGAAAGACTTTAAAATGAATAAATAAGTAGTTTGCACCAGTAAAGTTCTCAAATTGTGAACAAAGTGAATATGTCGCATTTACATGAAACCCAGAGAATTGCAATTTTAATTTTTATTGGATACAGAGAGTTTGCAATTAGTAAAATTGGGAGAAAATGGATGGAAATAGGGCATGTCAAAGATCGTGTAGTGGTTTAGACTCTAATGAGAACACAAGTTTAAATCTTCAAATAATGATGTTAGCCAACGAACAGCTTTGCGTGGATTAAAAGAAAAAAAGTATCATCCGTACAATATGGCATTCCTACAGGAACTGAACCTCAGATTACAGTTTTGCGAAACTATGATGGAATGCATGCTGGAACTTAAATCCATTTTTTTATCTCCAGATACTGGACGGTACATCGTTTTCCACAGAAAATAAATCTTTGGGCAGAGATTTTGGGTAACAAAATCTTACTGGAGTCCGATATTTACATTTTCTTCAAAATAGCTTAATTTCTACTCACGTAGTTTCTTTTCCAAATCTATATCAGCCTGATATGCCAGATAGATAGTTTTGGCTTTAACAGGACGGTACTCGGCATCATTCTTCATGAATATTTAAATGGGACAGTGGGTTCGTAAATGTGCATCAACAGAACGGACTGTAAGATCTCCAGATATTACTCTACTGGGTTTTTCCCCTGCGGATATTTAAAATCATCTACTTTTTGACCCACCCTGTACATTTTGTATGTATTGCCAAAAATGCACAAGAAAAAATTATGGAGTTGTCGAAGGACTTTTCTTGAAATCCAATACCCGATTTTTAATTTGTTCCACATTTTAGCCGTTTACTGTGTACATTTACCACCAAGTCTGGTCATCCCTCCGTCAAACATCCTGTATATAACCAATAAAAGAAAATTTATTTGTTTTAATCAAATAAGGAGTTTCCACATGGCATGCTTACTATGGCTGTGTTTAATATATAATTATTTTTTAGTTATTATAATTATAAATTCTAGTTATTTGTACATTTTTAGCCCTTTGCGTAATACCGGGAGTAAAATGGACCGCTTACAAAATTCTTTTTCATGTTATTATAACCGAATCATACTTTATTTATTTTTTGCATAATTCTATGGATTTAGGCTAAAGCCAGAGTCTTCGAAAATCTTATAAATACCAACAACAAATTTTTTTATAGATAGAAAAATAGTTACTAACCTTTTTTTATTAAACACTTTTTAATAAATAATTATAGTTATTATATATATAACATTATAAATAGGGGAGAGTGCGGCACGACGGCCAGAAGCTTCGCCAAAATTTGGGTAAATTTAGTTAAAGTTAGTCAAAAATACATAAATAAAAAGCTTATGTGTGCCGCTTCCCCTATTTTGTATTTCCGCGTTTCTCTAAGCATATTTAAGAAGTTGAATTAATAGAAAATTCCTTTTTTTTACAATTATATACAGAAAGTATTATTTGATCGCCAAATAATAATATATAAACAATTTTTAAATAAAATAATCCAGCAACAAAAATGTCCCAAACAGGAGAAAGACGACAGTTGTTATTACTAGCGGTCTTATTCTGTTGAAAAATTAGCCTCACCTTTCCATCACTCCTTCACGATTCCAGTTAGATGGAGTTTACTGTCAACCATTACCCACTCACGCGTATTATTACCTAGAAATTCGCGATATTCGAGATTTCGGAGCCGAGAGACTATTAAACCACAGCGTACCCGTGTCCCGCGTCAAACTCTAACCTCGTTTCGGACGTTGTTAGCGGTTAACGCCAGTATTTACGACGTATTTCGCGATTAAGTCATTTGCAAGTGGCCTGAAAAACGACTTATTTACGGCAACAATTAAATCGGGAATGCACACGGATCGCACGCGGGGGAGGGGGTGAACGATCGTGGGCGATTTTTTGCAATCGCCGGTCATAACTCGACTCGGCCGGTAATTGAGTTGATAATTTAAACGTCAAAGCGAACCCGTATAAAATAATTTATACCTTGTATCTGTATTGACGTAGGTAACGTATGTCTCGCCAGGTTTCGTCATAACTTTCGTTCTTTGACTGCGTTCGAGCAAATGGAAAGGGCGACCAGCAAACTGTAAGTTTGCTGGTCGCCCGACACCCCTACACATTTCTCAAACATCTCCGCTAAAAAGCAGGAACAGCCTGTACAGAAGAAATTCCTTGTTTTATAATAATAAACTGTCTTTATTGAAAATCAAAAAATTACAATATAAGTAATAATACAAGGGTGGCGACATTCGCAATTTGCGCAAAATACACACCCGTATATACATCGTAAATACAAAAAGTAGACGCACATCATAAACTCATAATTAAACAATATTCACGCTTTTTTATTGCGGGGAGGGATGTTATAGCATAAGTTATTCATTATATAATTTAACTGCGTTATAGCTAAAAGATCTCTGGAAGGTTGCCGAAGTGTGTCTAGGATCGCAATGTCTCGATTATGAATATCATTTCCTCTGAAAAGTTTATCAAACAAGTACGACGGGGTCTTATTGGAGTTTAGTAAAAAAACAAAAGTGGCTAACTGAACTCTATATCGGTCATCCAGCTTAAGCCAACCCGAATCAGGGAGGCACTGTGAAATATGGTCACACGTTCTGACATTTTAACTAAAACGAATACCATCGGTCGTTGGAATCTTTTCTTATCTCGATTTGGCTGGCCAATAGACGATACTGCAATAAGCGACATGGGATAAAACTAACATATCACAGAGTTTGACTTCCTTACTGAGAAAATGTTTATGAATATACAATGTCCTCAACTTATAGAAGGATTCTTGTAACACCGAGCCAACATGCTTAGAAAACCGCAAGTCATCGTCAAACCATAATCATAAATTTTTACATCCCTCTGAAAAGCGTATCGGCATGTTGATGAGATTTGCAAAGTTTAAGAAAAGTAGAGAAGTCAGCTATATAAACTGAGAGCAGATTAGGTCGCAGAATACACCCCTGGGAACACCACTCTCCAAAGCAATGCCATCTGAATGAGTATTTCATATAACTACCCTTTGGTATCTCTGATCAAGAAAATTTTTTAAAAATGAAAGACCAGTTCCTTTTATCCCAAATAATTCCAGTTTAGCTAGACGAAGGAAATGATTTAAGGTGTCGAACGCTTTGCTATAGTCCAAGAGCATGAGACAAGAGTTTAATTTAGAATCCGCCGCTCTCAATAAATCATCAGTAAAATGAAGCAAGGCAGAAGTAGTGCTGTGAAGAGGTTGAAAACCAGATTGAGTGTCTTCACCGCATTTTCTTTTGACACACCTATAACTTGTAGTTATACCCCATCTACCGCATCTACGCGCACCTCTGCACACACCTTATAATAAGACAGAGACTGATCTCGCTTATGTCTTGTCTAATCTGATATTTTAATGGATTTAAACCAAATCAGCAATGCACCGCTGAGCAGACTAGTTTTTCCTACTAGAATTGCCTTATTACTCCACCTCCAGCCTCAAAATTGCTTCTTCTTTCTGAAGTTGCCTGCAGCTACGAAGTCAAATGGACATTCACGTGCAGTGTTTTCACCTCAAAGTATCCAAGGAGGTAGAAGAGCAGCTTCAGCAGCGTCTACAGAGAAAATTTCTGCTGTTCCAAATTTAGAGCACTCTCTCTTTGCGCACCTCTACACACCCCTTGTAGTGAGAGAGAGACTGATCTGCGTTAAGTCTTGCTTAATCTGACATTTTAGTGGATCTGAACGGAGGAGCTCAGAATCAAGTCCCGTTTAGTGCTTCTTATTAGAATTGCGTTATCAATCCACCTCTAGTCCCAAAATTACTTCCCCTTTCGTCTACAACTACAACGGCAAGCGGCACTTCCATCTTCGAATGTCGAAAAGACACCTGGAAAATCCATCCACGTACTCGCTACGGATGACATAAACCGCCCCTCGTCCTCCAACATTCAATATTTACCTACAAAGACACCTTCTACGTACATTAAAACAAAAACGGAGTCCCGATCCACTCCTGCCGTGGGGCTTTGGGGAGGGACGGAGAGGGGGGCGAGCGATCTTCTTTTCCGGAGCACGTGCGTGCTCTCCCTCCGGTCTCTGTTCATATTCGGCGCTCCCCTTCCCGACTCCCGCTCCCCCGACCGCCCTTCAGGTGATGGTGGGGGGCGCATGCAAATGCGTCGGGACGCGAGCGTCGCGGAACCGGCGCTTTGGCAGCGGCGCCAGAAGAAAACGCCGGGCGTCGCGTTAATAACTATCGTCGTCGCCGTCGTCGGTTGTTTCAATCGACGCAAGTAATTAACGCGACTTTTTTCTTTCATTTCTTAGCGCCCTGTATATTTTCGCGGTCGGACGCGGCTCAAATTGGTGGCGGTGTACCGCGGAGAACGTAGCCGAGCGTTTGAGGTGGTCGATGGAGGTTGTGGAGAAGTGAGAGGTAGTTTCTGGGAATGTTTTGAGTGCTGGCACGTCTTTTTTCATGTCTTGGTGAGTTGATAGTGCCGTGTCACACCTAGTAGTTTAACGTCGTGGAGCATCGGCTTCCACTGAAATAAATAGTTGGTTGGCACAACATTCGGCACATTACCTCCTCCGAAGTCTTCAAAGTGCTTAGCCCAAGAATATAGAAGAGACCCTCGTTCCTTAGACTGGAATTTGACGATTCAAACATTTATTTCTTGTTTGGTATTAAGAGGTTTCATCATTAATCACAGCAAACTCGGGTAACTTTCGACTCCACCTGAACCAATATCAATCAAGTGCTCTCATAAATAAGGTTCGAACTTTCAGTTGGTGGAGCATCATGCTTAGAAAGCAGCTGTTGTAGTTTCCGCTGAAAACATTCAAAAGATGTAGAAGTAGAGAAAGGTGCTAACTTTACAGGTCTCTGAAATCTTCTTCTTGAGCTAAACTGGCTGAGGCTATCTGGATGAGGCTTCCTAGGTTCAAGTAAATATTTAAGTTTCTCGATCTCCACCTCCAAAAACGATCTCAAATCAATAGGCTCTTGATACACAGCACAAAAAGCTGTCGACAGTTTGTCGGTTGTTCTATACCTAGGGTTACTTCCTGACCAGTGTTGCCGCTCGGTGAAACACCTCACACGTCACGAACGAATCGATTATCTAGTTTCAAGTCATGTGAAGCTTAAATCGATTCCGAACTTTCCCCCCTTCGCGTTACATTCTCCGTGACTCAGCCTTTTTAAAACTATGTCACTTACGTGCTATATTTATTACCATACAATACTAAAAAAGAGTTCGTCGTTCTCCGCGCTTTCCTCGACGTCCCGAGTTCAAGGACGAGTCTGCGTGCCTCGTAAACGCAAAACGTACGACGTAACCTACGCGTAGCGTTAATGGAAGCAATTGTATGGCCGAAATTAGTGGAAAACCGAGCAACACGCGACGGGAAGTAACCGGGTTTTTGTGCGTGCTCGGTCCCCGGCTATGTTAATTTTTTATGTCTCCGCTGCTCGCTACGCGTTGTTCTAGACCCCTCCTGGACGGTAGATCATCTTCGAATCGGACGCACTCGCATTTTTCCAATCAGAGATCGTCCAGCGACGTTTTCGCCTTGGCGGTTGTCCCAAGGTCAAAGTACCACTGAGGTCACGTGGCCTCGCGGTCCTTTGGCTCTTAGAGGTCGGTCAAGTAGCCAAGTCACAGGATCGATTTGGAGTGGTACATTTTCGTCCTGAGACCTGGAGGTTATATCAAGGTCAAAATGTTAGCCAGGACACGTGACCGAATTCGATTGCGTATTCGATTTGAAATGGTCCCGCGGCCTCCGGCGGTGCTTTAGTCCTTAGAGGCCGTCCCAAGATCAAGCGGGTTCAATTTTATCGATCGTTTTTCGACGTTTCGACAGGTTTTCGATACCGCAGAGCGGAATATATTTTTTTAATGTGACATTAAGTGCGTATACCTGAATCGGTGGCAGTTCCTATATATTTCTAACCGTTTTAGAAGTAGTACGTTTAGTGCGGTTTTAAGTTCCGAGTTAGAACTACGTCGCAACCACGTTACCGTTATGTCATTGAAGAAACTGATGGACTACCGCAGAAAATGCGCCCACCGCATCTCGAAGGTAAGCGAACGAAAAAAATAGACTTTTTATTCATACTCCCTCGAAGGTGCCGACGAAGCGTCTAGCACGAAACGGCGCGGTTGTCGAATCTCATAATTAAAGGGCGAGCAGGCGCGAGAGAGAGAGAAAGACTCGGGCCTCACACCAAACTACTAACACAAAAATATATTTTGGGGGGTAGAACTAATTGTTTAGTCAATACTTTACACCCTGCGTGAGTCATTTTTTTTTCAACCCTAAAGCGACCAATCCCGGGGGGCGGGGGGTGGCGGTTCGACTAATCACCCCCTCCGCCCCCACTCCTCGAGCCCGGCTAGAACGTAATTATGTATCGAGATCGATAATTCACTTTCATATATTACACGATAGAATTTTACGTACGGCGGACTCGGGGCTTGCGTTGCGTCACAAAAGAACTGCGGGCCCCGTAGGGGCGTAAAGAGACTGGATTCTATTATGTAATTAATATTTAATACGATTGGATTTCGACGATGACGAACTGAAGAAGGGTTATTGCAGTTATTTAATAAGAGAAATGTTCCTGATGTTTCCACGTTGTCGTGGCTACGGTTGAATAGTTGGTTAGCCATAACCATTATTGCTAACTAAACAGCAACAGGCTTAAATATCTCCTAGAATTTCTAGTGAACCATCTTATCGGGCGTTCTAGAAAACTCTAAAAAAGTAGGAATGCCGGGAATGGGAGTTGGTAAAGATGTTTGAGTTAGTCGCACACGTTAATAATAATAATAATTACAACAAATATAAGATAAAAGTAATGAAAATAGAGTACAAAATAAAATACAATACTCGCACACGTACTCTAAGGAAGTTAATTACGCACACACGTACTCTAACCAGTTATAAGCTCTGCGCATGAAGCAAAAAACAGTCAACAATCTCAAGAAGTGTATCCGCATTAATATCACATGTAACTGAAACAATATTGGAGTTGCCACACATAAACAAAATTGGGGACTGATATAAAACGTTGGTCCTAGGTGTAGGGAGATGAAAATTTTTCTTTGAAAAGCCACTCAGGGTTCACCGTACCATGGAAAAACCCATACAGAAGTTTCAAAGAATTAATGTCCCTCCTAACCTACAGAGATGTTTCCCCGAACCTGCCTAATAGTATCTGATGGTCAAATTCTCTCCTTTTCTGGATCAACTCCAAGCTTTCAATATGACATTGATATATTGGACGCCACACCAATGATCCATATTCTAATTTAAATCTCACGTAAGAATAGTAGAGTTCGAATAGTTGAAGTATTGTTGCAGTGTCAGCAACTTCTTATTACAAAACCCAACGCTCTTGACGTCGATAATACTAATTGCTCAATAAGAGGTATAAAAGTAAGTATGGAATCGAACACAATACCCAGGTCTTTGACTTCACTTAATCGATTCGATACAGTTCCATTTGTTACGTAATTAAATAAATTTATGTTCAGCTTTCTAGAGTAAGTTACACTTAGAAACATTTATACCTAATCGATTAACCAGATATGATATGAAGTAACGAGCAGCCTTCGTTAGAATTAATCGTGGGATAGATTTTTAAACTAACTAATTAGATCATCAATAAATATGAAAAAAAAGAGGACTTTAGTTTGATCCTTGTGGTACCTCCAACATGGGATGAAACACCAGGGACCTAAACCCCTCGTATTGAACAAGATGTTTAGGATCTAATAGGTAGGATTTTAGCAAGTTTTGTAACGACAACGATATGCCAACATTGTGAAGTTTCGATAGCAAAATATAATGATCTGCATCCGTCTGAACTAAATCATGAATTGATTCACGTAAATATTGAGCCAACCTTACCAGGTTGCTTGTACACGACTTATTTAAAAGAAAACCGTGTTGCTCAACGCTAATATTATTCCTAAGACTGGAATAAATACAGTCACAAACTAGAATTTCGAATAATTTAGAAAAATTGCAAAGAATTGATATAGGTATAACAGGTATAACTTTGGCAATCTTCCACCGCTGAGAAAATGATCACGATTTGATAATGGTATTGAATATGTGAGTGGACGAGCGAGGACACTGATACAGTCCATAACAAAGAAGCTAGGCATGCCATTAGCACCGGCTGTTGGTTTATCTTTCAATTTTCTGTTGGCGTTGATAACCTGCGTTTTCACTGAAAGAGACCTGTATAATTTTTATCAGAGGGAACATAGCTATTTCTCTTCGATTGAATATATGACCAAAATTTTGAGGCATCATCTTGTGTATTGAATTCGATTTAAGTGCTTAAGTACTCCCCATATGCTTTCACTGTTTGAGTTTTTTATGATAGCAACAAAGGGCTGCCTTTATTTTTCTGAGCACGAGAAAGTTTCTCGTTTTCAAAGAAACACTCTAGGGTCTCAAGCAAGTTACTATTACTTAGCATGGATTTGTAAGTTAGTCTACCATATTGCTGTTAGGATCTACGCAAATAACTGCCAAAAATTGGCTTAGACCCCGTATCGACCAAGCTGAACGTTCTAGATAGCTACGAGTGCCTCAAGGGAGCTACTGTTACTGAGCACTGATGTTTAAGTTAGCCGTACCCATTATTTTTACGCCAGATTCAGAAAAACCAATAAAAAATTATGTTGGACATCATATCACGCAATCTAGAACATTCAGATCATGGCATGGGAGTTTTCGAGATGGCGGTTACCTTAGGGTTACATTGTGGACCTTCATCTTCAACCACACAATATATAAACACATGCGGCGCATCGTACGAAAAAGGGTAAACGGAAAGCCGAGAAACCAGGTTTGAAAGTTTTAAACGATCATATAACTCAAGTTTTTATTACGGAGATCAGTGCGCACTTCGACGGGCAGCGTGCATAATTTACATTAAATTATCGTGACGTGTCGGATTAATCAATTATTAATTAGCGCGATAAAGGGCGAACGTACTCCATGCGGAAAATAGGTAAAATAGATAAAAATAGAATATCCCGTATCACAATTATTTCTGTACCTAATCAATGTCTACATGATATTCTCTAAATCATTCAATGGCTTTTCGATCCTTTATTTTTTGGGGAAAAACTAGGACTAACGTGAACCAGCCAAAAATTCGTCTGTTTTTGAGCTGCTTATTCTGTCACTACTACAGAAGTTATTCCACAACTGCGTTGACGACTATGGGAAACTATGTATTAGATAATAACGCAACTAATTTCAATTGTTTTTCCACAACTATATCACGGTTAACCCAACATAGAAATTACCACCGCGTAATAATGGTATAAAATATTTGGTTTAGTTTTCGTTAGTTTTGGTTAGATGATACTAACTAACTTAGTTTTAGAATATCATTCATTAAGTGTGGACTATTATATCCTCACTGGTCTTCTCCATCTTTTTTTTCGATTTCTAGTGGCACATTCTATGAATTATTTTTATCACATGAGACGTCATCTTGAACAATAGTTCAAGATTGGATTTACTCTTCCTCTTATTGCTACGTCTTGGATACAATTATTATAACACAACTAATAACCAATTTATTTCACTATCGAATACTACTACTACTCCGAAACAACCGAAATTCGACTGCTTTTCATCAAATGAGTTGCTCGTTGCTGTGTTGTCCAAGATTAGGTTTATTTTTCCTATGTCTTGGTTTCGAATTAGCATTGATATCTCATACGCTCTACAACATCCTTTCCTGTTATCAGCTGTCAATTACTGAACCTGAACGGTTTTGACCACTATAAGAAACTTAGTACAGCTCTAGGCACCCATCTTATTGTTTCGGATGTTGACTCTGTCTCGCTAACGTCGTCGCTCGAAACGTCAGCGACACAGGAGCAATCTAAACAATAACACAGTTCCAGAGCCTGCAGAAGTTTCTTTCAAGAACCAAGTGATTTTGTAAATACTAATAGCAGATACAGATATTTACAAACAACTAATTTCAATTGCTTTCAACTGTATTATCATTTATCACGATTAACCGCAAATGCAAATGCATTACTTAGATTTAGCTAGTTCGATACTAGTGTAGTTTGGGCTAACAGTAAGAACTGTCGATTGATCTCTCGATACTTCAGCTATACCTGACGTAGTTCAGAGATGAGGCTCATTCTCAAAAATAATTTTTCACTGTTCAAAATCGATTTCGAATCTGAATATCTTGCCACTTATGTCGTTGTCCGTGCGAGTGCAAACAATTGGAGACATAACAATTTGATCAACACATTGTACTAGCAATGTAACATCGGAAGCACGAAGATGCTCATCGACTCACAGCGTTTGATGCCCCATCCCACCAGCTAGGTTCGTTAAAAACCATTGTTCAAGATTTGCTCCAAATGTGTCCACAAAAGGCCAATTTCTATTTAAAAAAAAAAAACGATCGACCTTCTCGTCGGGGCACGTTAGCGGTATGCCGTTCCCGCAGCTACTCGCGCTGAGTCGCTGGACCGGGGTATCACCTTTTTAGGGGTTTAAAGATGAGCCCCGTGTAAAGAAATTTTAACCATTTATCTACCCTTATTCGGAACAATGGGCGGCTTTTCACCCCTCCGGGCTTCGCGAGGAAAGTCCTATACAGGTAATTTTTTTCGTCCGGGGGGGGGGGGGGGGAGAGGGCGAGAAAAAAAAAGAGAATAAGAGTAACCCGAGACTTGTACGCGTCAACTTCAAGGTTAGGCTCGATGGTTTCATGCATGTTAATTTTTCTAGTGGTAAATATTTGAACTTGTTTACGGAATACGTTTCGGGGATGGTATTCTCTTCCGCTACGTTAGGCATTCGATATTCGTTACAGTTTTCAGTTGCGCAGCGATGAAACGTTACGGTAATTCAAGAGTTATTCCCACTCAGACCTTAGATGGGTACAATTTAAACGACCTATTTTTACTGCCAACAAAGGCTTATACTATACTAAAATTTCATCACTTACTCATAAGCCTTGCAACTACAATAGTAACAAATTAGAAAAGGTGTAAAATCCCACTTACGATCGAATTCCC